AATATGAAATGGAAATTTTATTGTCATGTTAACATAGTCATGTTCATTCTTTTACACATTGTAACTTCTTTTGTGCTCTAATACTAGAATTAAGTAGTTGCAATGGAGATTGTATGAACTAAAAACTCAGAGAACTGCCCTTTACAGGAACCGTTTCCTCGCCTCTGATTTAGATCCTTGATTTTAGATATTCAGTGTATCTATTTATTAATTTATAGTTAAAAATTTGTCTCTGAGCGCTGTTTTGGATGATTCCACAATTTTTGTTTTGACAGCTTAATGTTTACCTCTTTTAATGTTTATAGTCAGTTTATTAAGTTCAACAATGAAAGTTATCAGAAGAATATTCTCCTGAAAATGGTGTTCTTTCTTAGAAAAAAAAGAAAGGAAAATCAAAGTCCTCTCAGCATAGCCACAGATGCTGTGGCTGCCACACCTCTCTGCAGTGAGTTGGTTGTGTCACTCCGTTGTCAGCAAGCTTACAGTCTGGATCATTCCATCCTCCCATTTCCTAGAACAAAGACTCATCATCTACTTCCAAATTATTTTCTGCATCTTCCTAGAATTGGATATCAGATGTGTCAAGATTATGATCTGTTTCAAATAGTTCTTTCCCACTTACCATATATACTTGTGTATCAGCTGACGCACCTAATTTTACCACAAAAACTGCATTAAAAATGTGCTGAAAAACTTGGCTGATATTCAGGTCAACTTATACTCTAGTATATATGGTGATTTTTTCCTGTTTGCTCATTCTCTTTAATTCTTTTCTTTTTCATTTCTGAGAGTTCTGCATCAAATTTGGCCTTCCAACTTAAGAAATTCTCGATTGTAACGGAGTGCCCAAAACAAAACAAAAAAACAGAGTGCCATGAAATAGTTGCTTTTCAGCTTCTGCTTCTTTTTGTTAGTTTCTTCTCTTCCACTTTTTATTTGAACTACTGTTTCATTTAGTTTTTCTTGCACAGCTAATACTAAAGATCATTACCATAACAAGGTTTTCTTCTGTAATGCTAATAATCTTTAAAACGTCTGCAACATTATTATCTGCTAGATTTCCCTGGGAGAGTATTTGCTAAAGGGGAGCATCATCTGGGTATTTTTCACTGCATGTAAACTTACAGTGTAGTCTGTGCAGTGTTTGTAACATCAGATGTCACAGTAGTGGGGAGACTGGGTCGGGTTTCTGATAATACTGTGAAGGAGTCAGAGTGGATGGACTTCAGCTCTTTGTGCTGTAATCGGTCCTCATGACCCTCGTTGCTACCCGTGGATGGCAACAAGCCAGGGCACTGCATCAGGTACTGAGGCTACACCTGGAGAGCTAGTACTGAATTCTAATTTGATTCCATTGTTAGAAAACGTATAGGGGCCTTCAACATTTCCTGGAAAAATTGAATTGACATTAGAAAAATGATCATGGAAATTTTCCTTGAACTTTTTGAAGTCCTCCTTGTATAACTTAAAACATTTGAAATTTATCAAAACTTAGTTTTAAGCATTTGCATATGGTTTGTTTACTTCATTTGCACATTTAAAAAGTATATCTATTGTACAGCTGCTAGAGGTTGTGTTCTATAAAAGTCTCTTAGGTAAGTTTAATTGATAGTATTATTCAGTTCTATATCCTCAGTGATTCCCCCCTCCTCAGTTTTTGGTCTGTTTATCCTATCAATTATTGAGAAAGTTGTATTAAAATATCCCACTATAGTTGCAGATTTGTTTATTTTTATCAGTTTTTGCTTTAAGTGTGTTGTGTTGTGTAATTAGAAACATGGCCTAATTTTTTACAATGTCCCCTTTTATTGTACTTTTATAGAATTCCTCGTTTAAAGTCTTATCTCATATTATTGATCCAAGCTTTCATTCTATTGGTCTCATTTGATTTTAGATGTGGGCCCTTTCAAACAGCATAATGTTTGTCTGTAACCTTACTATTGCTATAATCTCAGACTTTTAATTGGACTATTTTGACCATTTATATTTAATGTAGTTAGTTACTCATGGCTGGATTTTAATCATCTTTTTACTACTTTTTGCTTTTCTTTTTATTAGTGTTTTAAAATTTCCTTTAAAAAATATTGCCCCTTTCAGTATACATTGTATTGATTTTAGTTTTTAGTAGAGAGTATAAGGAGCCTTGGTAGTAGTTGATAACTGAAAGGTTGATGGTTCAAAACTCACTCAGCAGCTTTGCAAGAGAATTCTGCTCATATAAAGATTAAAAGTGAAAAACCCTGTTGCTACCATGTCCATTCTAACTCACAGCAATTCCATAGGACAGAGTAATACTGTCCCATAAGGTTTCCAAGGAGAAATCATATTTGTGGAAGCAAATTGCCATATCTTTATCTTGGGAAGTGGCTGATGGATCTGAATCCTTTGCTATTCATATAGCAGCTGTGCCCCTGACCAGCAGGGCTTTTCCTGTAAAAAATGCAGCTTAGAAAACTCTGGGGCTGTTCTACTCAGTTGCATGAGATTGCTGTGAGTCAAAATTGCCTTGATGGCCACTAACATGACCAAGATTATTTCAGTTTAACAAGGTAATTTGAATTAATGTTATTTACCCTGTTCATGAGGAGCTAATGTACTTAAGATACATTATTGTGGTATAAATCTCCCAATTTGCTCAAAACATTCAGCTATCATATAAGGAAACTTTTCAGTGCTTTTTTGTCTACTCACTTTTTTTTGGGTTGGTGTCGCCATTCATTCTTGGATTTGTTTATTATCTTGAATCATTTCCTTTTAGCCTGAAGAGCATCATATTGTATTTCTTCTTTTGGAGAAAAAAAAGCAACAACACATTTCTATATCCTTATGTATGTTATGCGTTAGTGTATACAAGGGGTGGGTATCAGAAAATGAGTCGAAAAATGTAATTTAAAGGTACTAGAGTTTTTCTGTGAATATTTTAAGCCCCTTTGTATATGTTAGGTATTTTTGAAGGAGCTTCAAAAAATTAAGAAATTTCATTTATTATTGTGTTTTTCCACGAACTTTTTGAATCTCCTTGTATATGTGTATGCATTTTTTTCTAAAACTTTTCATCTTTTCTGTATTGCTAGCATTTTGATCTGTGTGGATATTTTGGGAGAAAAAAATTAGAAGTGAAGAATTAGTTGTACTACTTTATATGGAATCTTAGGTAATTAACTTAAGTCTTTAATCTTACTAGATTCTGGTAAAATAGACTGGCATAGCTTATTTTCTTTTAATGGGTAATTGGGTAAAGACAGGGGACTGTTTTAAAAATCAATCTTGGAGGGCAAGAGTTGTAGGCAAGAGGTAAATGCTGTTCTGTGCACTATCTTGCAATAACTGATCTATGAGTGGATGCATGGGTAGATATGCAGGTTGAATGAATGTGGAAGGGCGAGTAGGACTATGGCCACATTATGTATATATGTATGCATGCATATATACACACACATATATATATGTTTGATAGAGGGTGTTTCTACCTGTGTATTTATTTCCCTGTGTTGAAAATATATCCATGAATGTAAAATATATCCATGAATGTAGTGGAGACTTTAGGGGGCAAAGTTATGGAAACTTAAGATAAAACCAAATGCCTTTTTAAAAAATCAGTTTATTGGAGCCTCTTACAGCTCTTACCACAATCCATACATACATGCATTGTGTCAAGCACGTTTGTCCATTGGTTGCCATCATCATTTTCAAAGTAACCAGACACTTTGAGAGAATGAATCACTGGAGCTGTGGGCTCATAAACATACTCTTAAGGACTGCCAAGGTCACAGTGCACAAAGACAATGAATGCACTATATCCTACTTTGATAAGTAACAGTTCAGGTCTTAAAAGTTCATGAGGAGGCATTTGAAGTGCAGCTATTTGCCTTTCCCTCTCTGGAGGAAAGAAGAATAATGGAAATGGAAGGCTCCTGGAAATAATTGGCCCAGTAAACTATGGACCAAGTGAACGTCAGTAGAAGGAGAGGGCACAGTGGGAGGAAAATCTGGAGCAAAACTCACTATCAACAACAACAACAAAACTTGGGGGCTGCTGGTAAGATAGAAACTAGTGGGACCCCTGAGCCATGGCCCTTAGTCACCCTTTAGGTCTGAAAATGAACTTACCGCCTTGCTCAATTTTCAGCTTAACGATACAAAGATAGATAAGGGGTACAATAAAGTTAGGGGAGTATATATAACCAGCCCTTAGAATAGTCAACCATTGGAAATCAAAAGGGCAACATTTACGCAAGGACAAAGCTTATTAGAAGGGTTAGGAAAGAAAAAAGGAAGTGTAAACAGAGGAAGGAGAGGGATAAGAGACTTTACATTATGGGGATTATAGTCAAGGACATGAAACAGATAGGTATGAATTGTAAAAATGAGGAATGGGTTTGCTCTTCTTTCGATTCACAATAAAAAGTTTAAAAAAATCTTAAATGATAAATATGGTGGAATGTTTGCCTTCAACTACTTATACCCCATTATTTTGGAAGAATTAATGGTGGAATCACTTGGCAACGTTATTGTTAATGTACTCAAGATTATGTATTCTATGCTTTAAAATGGTTAAAAATGCTGATTTTAATGTAAATCTTGTCTTAAAAACTGTGGGCATCCTGAAAAGTTCTTCCTAATGTTTATTGAATTCTTAATTATGGTGGGCATTTACTTGCTTGTTTTTAAATTAGTGTGGATTGCTAGAATTTGGTAATGAGTCAGGGCCATTTGATTTCCAAAATTGAGCTGGTTTGTAATTTACCAATAGAAAAATGAGTGTTGAAAGCATTTTTTTTTTTAATTGTTTTGTATAATGATTAGAGGTCCACTTGTTAAAACATGACACTTCAGGTGCTTTTGTGTAATTTTTTGATAAATATAAAAAAGTCATGAAAGATAAATTTTTGAGAAAATATGACTTGTTCAATCTGAGTTACTTGAAATATCCTATTCTCCAATCTTAATTATCAGTAGTTTTAACTTTTTAATCATTTTTCTTTCCTCCATCTCTCTAGCCTTGTTACCAACAATTTTGAAGATGGCTCCCATGTAGCCTCACCACTAAACCCAAATGGACCTTTCAATGTTGTCATTAAAGAGGAACCTCCAGATAATTATGACTATGAGCTTGGTGAGTGCCCAGAAGGTGTCACTGTGAAGCAGGAAGAGACAGATGAAGAAACAGATGTATACTCAAACAGTGATGATGATCCCATACTAGAAAAACAGCTGAAGAGGCATAGTAAAGCTGATAACCTAGAAGCTGACTATCCGTCTACTAAATGGCTACCAAGCAGCCCATCAGGTGTTGCTAAGGCAAAAATGTTCAAATTAGACACTGGGAAAATGCCAGTAGTCTATCTGGAGCCCTGTGCAGTCACCAAAAGCACAGTGAAGATTTCTGAGCTACCTGATAACATGCTTTCTACATCTCGGAAGGATAAGTCTTCCATGTTGGCAGAATTGGACTATTTGCCTACGTACATTGAAAATTCCAATGGGCCTGATGACTGCTTAGGTAAAGAATCAGAAAATACTGGTCTTAGAAATTTTTCACCAGATTTCAGAGTGATACAAAAATACCCTTTATTTAAAGAGCCTCAGTGGAAATATCCTGATGTATCTGACAGTGTCAGCACAGAAGGAACATATGATAATAGCTCAAAGGGGTCTTCTGGGGATTCCTTTTCAGGAAAAGAGGACTTGGGAAGAAAGAGAGTACCTATCCTTAAAATTGCAACACCCTCAAAAGCCTTGGATACCAATCAGAATACTTCTCCAAGTATCACTGGGAAGAGAGGGAGGCCACGGAAATGGAAACTACCTAAGGCAGGGCGACCACCTAAAAACACTGGCAAGTCTCTAACTTCCACAAAGAATACTCCGGTTGGCTTTGGGTGTACATTTCCAGAAGTAAAGCCTGACTTGGAAGATGTGGATGGTGTTCTGTTCGTTTCCTTCGAATCGAAGGTGAGATTGTTTTTCTAAGACGGCTAATGTGAAATAGTCAATTTTTAATTATATATAGGCTGATAACCAACTTAGAATTCAGCTCTTTGTGCGTGTGTATGTGCAGTGTCTTTAAAATGTTCGGTTTAGTAACCACAACACAAAATATCTAAATTAGACCTGATTACATCTCAGTTTGTGAATTTTGTGCTGCCTTTAGCTAGGATTTTTTAGTCTTTAGGTCATCGTTACAGATGTTTTCATTGCCGTCGAGTTGATTCTACCTCATAGCAACTCTATAGGACAGGGTACAACTGCCCCTGTGGGTTTCTGAGACCATCCAACTCTTTACAGGAGTAGAAAGCCTAGTCTTCTTCAGAGCGACTGATGGTGTCAAACTGCTGACCTTGTGATTATGAAAAAGTTTGTAAATTCATATGAGAGACACCCCCTCCCCCCGTTATCTTTTTGTGTGCTTTTTAATATTAGCACCAGAGAAGCAGCTATTAATGGTCTTATTTAATATGCCGTTTAATTTTTGGACTGAATTAAAAAAAATTATATTTTCATAAACTCAGTTTAGCTATAAGGAACCCTGCTGGTATTGTGGGTTAGGCATTGGGCTGCTAACTGCAAAGTTGGTAGGTCAAACCCACCAGCCACTCCAATGAAAGATAGGCTATTTGCTCCATAACAACGAACAGTCTTAGAAACCCTTCATAGGCCCACTGAGAGTCAGAATTGACTGAGAATGACTTTTGTTTTAGCTCTTTGGAATTCTCTCCTATTTTCTTTCCTTCTTGTTAGTTGCAAGTGAACTATGTATAGGTTCTCTAAGTATATTAATTGGAATAAAAATGTAGTGTTAGGCTACTTAACTGATTATGCTATTCAAATTTTTGCTTTTCCCTTTGATTTAAAAATGTCAATGTAAAACACATATAAAATAACAAAAATGATATGAACAAGAATGAAATTGCCCTTAGTTCTGTGAACTTTGATTTGTTATTATATGATAGTATGGTATATTTTCTCCTAGTGTTTAATTTTTCTTTACAAATCCTGGTTTATTTTTAAATTAAATGTTAAACTAGAGCTAATGTCTCTTTTAGAAGTTCTGTGAAGTAAACTCTTTTCCTCTCAAATGTAGGAAGCTTTAGACATTCATGCAGTTGATGGGACAACAGAAGAACCCTCGAGTCTTCAGCCATCAGCCACAAGTGACGCAGGTATTACACCATAGCTGAAAGACGGGAACTTGTGTGGTTTGGACTTTAGGATGGCAGTGCTCATTCTAAATGTATAATAGCTTATTTGATCAGCATCTGTTTTCTGAGCAGGCTGCAGGGCAAGAATCTCCCAGTTGGAAAAGGAATTGATAGAAGATTTGAAGTCTTTGCGTCACAAGCAGGTGATCCATCCTGGTCTTCAAGAAGGTAATGGCTCCTTAAAAGATCTACAGACTATTTCCATGCCCACACGCTTCCATTGTTTCATTCTGCCCACCTTTCTTCTCTTTGCTCCTGTATTCTATACTCTTTCTCTTTTGTCTTCTCTCCACCATTTCTATCAGTACACATCTTCAGCCTACATTTTTTTTTTTTTTCATAATTTTCCCCCTTAATTTAAAAACATGTCTAGATCTTCCCTGTCCTAAGGGAAACTGTTAGTATGGGTTGAGTAAAGAAACAAATTCATAGACACTCATATGTATAAGAAAGAGCTTGATATAAAAGAGTAATTGTGTATTAAGAAAATATCTCAGTCCAGTCCAGATTAAGTCCATAGATCCAATATTAGCCCATATGTGCAATACCAGCCTGTAAATTCCTGTTCAGCCTCACGCAACACATGCAATGATGCTGAGTGCAGGAAGGTCACAGTCCAGTGGGTGGAAAGTCTTGTGGATCCAGTGGTGGCAGAAGCATCTTAGCGTTGGCAAGGATGTGGCTCCTCTAACTCCAGGGCTCTGGTTACCATCTGCATAGCTCCAAGTGGCTTGTCAACAGGAATGTTTCGCAGGGAGAGTCTGTGTGTCCTGCCTGCAGTGAGCTATTTATCTCTGTGGTGCCTCCAAATGAGGTCATCAAACTGCGACCTGATGACAGACTGAACTCCACCCCTTCCTCGAGTTGACAGTTTATTATGTAACTGCCACAGAAACCTTTAGAACTTTTCAGGGGTTGTCTATTCTATGAAGTATAATACCTTAGGCATTAAAAATGTGTATTGCCATAAAGAAGTTATATTTTCTGTTTTTCCTTATAAGCTAGTATTTTCTTCTCTATTTTTAAACCTCTTAATTTTTCATGTGTATTTATTGCGTGTGTGTTGGTTTCTTACTCTTGGTGCTATGTTGTCTTTTATGTCTAGCTACAGTTATGTTTTATTTTTGTTTGCTTTTTAAATCATTTTACTGGGGGCTCAGACCATTCATTTTATTTTTAATTGTTTTATTAGGAGCTCATACAACTCTTATCACAATCCATACACACATCAATTGTGTAAAGCACATTTGTACATTCAGTGCCCTCATCATTCTCAAAACATTTGCTCTCCACTTAAGCCCCTGGCATCAGGTCCTCATATTTTCCCCTCCCTCCCTGCTCCCCGCTCCCTCATGAGCCCTTGATAATTTATAAATTATTATTTTGTCATATCTTGCCCTGTTTGACTCCTCCCTTCACCCACTTTTCTATTGTCCGTCCCCCAGGGAGGAGGTCACATGTAGATCCTTGTAATCGGTTCCCCCTTTCCACTCTACCCTCCCAGTATTGCCACTCACACCATTGGTCCTGAACGGATCATCCGCCCTGGATTCCCTGTATTTCCAGTTCCTATCTGTACCAGTGCATATCCTCTGGTCTAGCCAGACTTTCAAGGTAGAGAATTCGGATCATGATAGTGGGGGCGGGGAGAGGGTGGTGGTTGGGTGGGGGAAGCATTTAAGAACTAGAGGAAAGTTGTATTTTTCATTGTTGCTACATCGCACTCTGGCTGGTCTCCTCCCCAAGAACCTTCTGTAAGGGGATATCCAGTGGCCTACAAATGGGCTTTGGGTCTCCACTCTGCACTCCCTCCCCCCCATTCATTATGGTAAGATTTTTGGTTCTGATGATGCCTGATACCTGATCCCTTCAACGCCTTGTGATCACACAGGCTGGTGTGCTTCTTCCATGTGGACTTTGTTGCTTCTGAGCTAACTGGCTGCTTGTTTACCTTCAAGCCTTTAAGACCCCAGACACTATATCTTTTGCTAGCCGGGCACCATCAGCTTTCTTTGTCACATTTGCTTATGCACCCATTTGTCTTCAACGATCGGAGGTGAGCACACAATGATATGATTTTTTGTTCTTTGATGCCTGATAACTGATCCCTTCGGCACCTCGTGACTGCACAGGCTAGTGTGCTTCCATGTGGGCTTTGTTGCTTCTGAGCTAGATGGCCACTTGTTTACCTTCAAGCCTTTAAGACCCCTTTAAGACCCTATGTTTTTTGATAGCCGGGCACCTTCAGCTTTCTTCACCACATTTGCTTATTCACCCGCTTTGTCTTCAGCGGTTGTGTTAGGAAGGTGAGCATCATAGAATGCCAATTTAATAGAAGAAAGTATTCTTGCATTGAGGGAGTATTTGAGTGAGGCCCAATGTCCTTCTGCTACCTTAATACTAAACCTATAAATATCTGCACATAGATAGATTTCCCCATCCTCATATATAAATATATTTGCATATCTAGACCTCTATAAATACCCTTTGCCTCCCAGTTCTTTCCTCTATTTCCCTTGATTTTCCTCCTGTCCCACTATCATGCTCAGTACCCCCTAGTGTTTCAGCAATTCCTCTTTGTTACATTACCCTTGATCATGCCCTGCCAGGCCTCGCACACTTTCCTCACCACCGCATTGGATCACTTGTTGTTCCCTTGTTCCTGGGTTTGTTACCACCACTACCTTTCTCCCCACCTCCCCTTCTCCCATGTCCCCTTGGAACTGTCGGTCCCGTTGTTTTCTCCTCCGGATTGTTCATCCAGCCTATCTTATTTAGACAGACCTGTGAACTGAATTTTCTTATAGTAAACGATGGCTTCAACAATCATGAAATTTTCATTATTTTTTAATTCCATTTTTTCATAAACTTATTGTTAAATTTTATTAACTTTAAGAATCATTTTATCGGGGGCTCATACAACTCTTATCATACTCCATTCAGACATCCATTGTTTGTCAAGCACATTTGTACATTTGTTGCCACCATCATACTCAAAACATCTGCTTTCTGCTTGAGCCCTTGGTATCAGCTCCTCATTTTCCCCCTCCCCACCATAAGCTTTTTAAAGGAATCCTTCCTCCCCGTAGTTAGATAATTTTTTTCTTTCCACATATGTGTCTAATGCATGTGATACTTACTTTTTGTGAGGGGTTGAGATAACATTTGATTTTGGAGTTAGAAAACAAAAACAAGCTTTATCGTGAATTAGGTCGGACTTTACATTTTATTTCACCATCTTTGTATTGGAAAACTTAAAAGAATTTATTAAGTCTCCTAATAGCTTGCCCTATCCTCCCCACAACATTTAAAAAAATTTCCTTTCTCTTCCACCTCCCTTTCTCATAGGATATTGTCTTTTTCTTCATGCAAGTTAACACCTGTCTACTCTTTCCTTGTTTCCTTGTTCTCACCTTTCCTTTCTCGCCTCTGGTAACCAGCAAAGTGTGGTATTTTTTTTTCCCTGTTAATCTCTAATCTGGTTTTTTTTTCCTTTTCTACCTTTGTCTAGTTTGGTCTATTTTGATTGATTAACTTCACTAAGCATAATGTTCTTTAAATCCGTCCGTGTCATGAGATTCTTCACAGTTTTGATCATCGGTCTTTAAGGATGCATGGTATTTCATTATGTATATGTTTGTGCAATTTCCATGTATTTGATTTTCTTTCCTTAACCTTCCTATTGTTGATTTTGGACTTTATAGGGCCGGGATCTGCTAAGATCAATGTTTTTAAATTTATTAAGGCTTTCTTTGTAGCTACTTCCACTTACTGTTCCTGAGTGTTTTATCTGTCCTGAATTCCATGTGTCTAGAGCTCTTATCTGTACTAGCTGGATTTGAAAGATAAAATTTATGAAATAACAAGATTAATACCAGTGACTTCAAAGTTTTATGTCTTACCGAGTTAACTTCATGCAGAACTATTTATTTCAAAGAACTGGAATGGTAAACTGAAGCAGAAGAGCTATCTTTTATGCATATATACTCTGTGGAAGATAGAGAAATTAGCCATAGCTAAACTTGTGAACTGTCTTTGTCTTTTAGGGAAATTGCACTGTGAGATTTTTATTGGAAATCTATGACTAATTTTTTTTTCTTCAAAATTTAACTGGTAAAGTCTTTATTAAATCCACAAAATTAAAAAAACATTGTAGGGAGATAGCAGGTAGAGCCACCAGATGGTATTAGGTGGTGGGAGGGACACAGGACAGGGCAGAGCCAGACCAGGCTTGCCATGGGAGCACCTGCTTCCGAGGGTATTGATAGGATCTGCAGGCATTTCTGGGGGGCCCAGGCCAGTACCAGGGCAGGCTCAGTGGTGGTGGCTCCACCAGCACAACTGAGAACTTTGTACCTGTGACTTTTAATAATTGTTACTACGTTATCTTTGAACCTTGAACTTCTTTGTCTTTAATTATTTGAAAATTTAGGTTAAATGATTTCCTAAAAGATTGCCTTAATCTACCAAGAACTGATCTACTATGTTTATAGACTCAGTTAATATAATCATCCTTGATTATCCTAAAAACTTGATAATCAATTGCCATAAACAGACCAGAAGATGGCTAGATGATGGACGTTAGACATTCTTTGGGTTCTAAAGGTTTATCAGCACAAAGGTCTCAATTCTCGTATGTGAGTACATTATTTGTTGGTACATAGTAAAATAACAGTTACTTAAAAGTTTCATAGTTTTTGTGGGTCAGGAGTCCAGCTAATTGAATCATTTACTTAGAATCTCACAAAGTTGCAATGAAGTTGTTGGATAGTGGATTTTCATCAGAGGTTTGACTGGGCTCTCCAGACGGCTTGGCAGATTAACTTTCTTGCAGTTGTAGGATGAATGCTACTCTGTTACATGATAACATATACATAATTATGTAGGTTTCATCCCTTCTGCCACGTTCCACCCTTTAGAAACAAATCAAGGGTTCTGCCCACACTTCCTGGATACAGAAACTAGAGATTACATAAATACCAAGGGACAGAGACTAAGAAATCACAGCACATTCTGTTTGCTATCTTACTTGTTTATCATTTTGCCACCAGTAGCTAAAAAGCAGAAAGTGATTGTGTGTGTGTGTATTTTTTTGTTTTCTTGCAGTGGGCCTAAAATTGAATTCTGTGGATCCAACACTGAGCATTGATCTTCAATACTTGGGAGTACAGCTACCTTTGGCGCCAGCCACTAGCTTTCCTTTCTGGAACCTTACAGGAACAAGTCCTGCCTCTCCTGGTAAGTCTAGTATTTATAAGTAATGACTTTTCTTACTTAAAGCTAAGGTTATTTGCGATACTAATAAAAACTTTCCTTTTTTTAGAGACATTTTGGATATCCCACGATAAGATAGCCTTTTCTTTTGTATTAGCTTAGCAATAGATTTCTAAATTTTAGATTGTCTTAATCATTAACTTAACACAGAATACTGGCTTGCTAGAATTTTGATCATCTCTTTTTCTTTTATAGATCCTGGATTTCCCTTTGTTTCTAGGACAGGGAAGACCAATGACTTCACCAAAATCAAGGGATGGAGGGGAAAATTTCATAGTGCTTCCGCATCTAGGAATGAAGGTAAGCAGTGGGTTTGTTTCTATTTAAAAATATATTTATTGTCATATATTCACATCAGAAATCATTCAATCATATGAAGAAGAGGTATGCCATCATCACTACAATCAGTTTCAGAACATTTTCTTCTCTTATTAGCTCCCCATTGCCCCCCAAACCTCCCATGCCCATCACCTCCCTCGGGAATTATCAATCCAGTTACTGTCTCTATAGATTTATCTATCCTGGATTTCATATAAAGAATATCTTGTAAAGCACAAACTCATACAAAACACACACGGGAAGCAACCAACCAACCAAACAAACAAAACCAACAGCGATGACAAAACTCAGAAAGACCTCAATTGAAACGAAAGCAGAAAGTACTAAAAAACTGAACTTTAAACAGGGTCAAAAGAGAGATCAAACGGTAAGGTATTACATTTTAGCTTAACTACATCCACCACAGTTGACTTTATAGTGCTCTCTATCTGATATCAAGGCTGTTCACATCCCTAGGCTATGGTCAAAGGGAGGGGGATTCACCAGAGGCTTAATCCATATGGGAACTCTACTAATGGATTTTTGTCTTCTAGTGTCTTTATATAACCTTCATGCAAACCAGGTGCTCTAATACCAATCCCTCCCTCTGGTTTTGGATTTTATTATTTATAATCTTTGGATGTCATAGACTGGTGTGCTTTTTCCATGAGGACTTAGTTGACACCTCACTTACATGACTGCTTGTTTGAAGACAAGCTTTTTTTGTTTAACTCTTGATTTTTATTTCGTTTTCACCTCTAACTCTGACAAATGTCGTATTTTCTCCATTTACATAATTTTGCTATCAGAAGAAGGCAAGCTTTTTTTTTGAAGACAAGCTTTTAAGACCCCTGAAATTATTCTTTCTGGTAGTTGGGCACAATCTGGTTCCTTCACACTTTTCTATAGCACAGTTTTTCCATCTATTCTATCCATACTTTAAAGTGAACTGAAAATTTGCCCTGCCTATTTTGGTTCATTTCCCCCATAATCACAACTTAAGTGGTCTCGGTAATCTTTTAAAACTACTCTTAATGTTATTCATACAGTTGCAAAAGCATCTCATTCTCAAACATTATTTGTACATGTGTTTAGAGCTTTACATGATTTTAGTAGCCTTATATGATGGGATTTCAAAAAGTTTGTGGAGAAATGAGATTAAAAGATAAAGGAAAATTTCCACAAACATTTTCAAGCACCCTCATATCAAAGTGAAAGTCTAATCCTAGTATTTCTACTATGTCAGTTTTTCTCCTCTTAGTTTTTTGCATTATCCAATGCACTTTATAGCAATTTACAGACTAACCAGATAAATTTACCATTTATTTGTTAACATTGTTATCCGAATCTTTGACTCTTGCACTCTTTTTTTAGTGTAATGTTTGGTGTGCTGCCTTTTTGTTCCTGAAAAATGAAATTCTATAGTACTATTTTTGTGGTCTTAACTCTTCCCCATTATTTTGTATCAAACTCCAGGTACTCTGTGATCTCTTAAATAATCCTTTAGCATCTGTTGGTCTGATTTGAGTTAGATAATACTTTATTCTTACTATACTTTTACTTAACCGTGAGCTCAATAATTAGATAATAAGTTTTCAAAGATTGAATATTCACAATCTAACACTTGGCAAATAGTTCAATAAAATGTAACTTGAATAATACAAGGATAAGATAATTTAAGGAAGCATTTTAAATTTTCCTTAGAGAATGGATTTTAATGTAATTAGTATCAGACTTATGTCTCTTCTTTTGGCTTTTGTATTTTACTGTCCTTATGAAGGACAGTTTAGAAGATTCAGTAGTTTAATCCAATGTACCCATTTTTTTTTTTTTAGTGTACTCCCCCTGTCCCCTAAAGATCTATTTTATTTTGCTTGAATTTTGTAAAATAGTTCATTACTGATGTTTGTGTGATTTAAAAAGAAAGGAAATTTAGATGAACAATGCAATATACCCTCCCCCAAAATAAAATGCAGTATACCCTACCTTTTTACATCCCCCAGATTATTAAAAGTATCTCGTGTCTCTCTATTTTTAGGGGGCAATTCAGATGCTTCATTGAAAAACCGTTCTGCTTTCTGTAGTGACAAGCTAGATGAGTATTTGGAAAATGAAGGCAAGCTGATGGAAACAAGCATGGGTTTCTCTTCCAATGCTCCTACATCTCCTGTGGTATACCAACTTCCCACCAAGAGTACCAGTTATGTACGGACCCTTGATAGTGTATTAAAGAAGCAATCTACCATTTCCCCTTCTACCTCATACTCTTTGAAGCCTCATTCTGTACCCCTTCCTTCTCGAAAGGTTAAACCTCAAAACAGACAGACAAATGTCAGTGGCCGAACTAAATCATCTTATAAATCTATCTTACCATATCCTGCTTCATCAAAACAGAAGCAGTCCCATGTGATTTTAGGAGATAAGGTTACCAAAAATTCTTCAAACACTGTCTCAGAAAACCAGATGAGTGACTTGGTTGTGCCAACTTCAGAGGAAAATGTTTTTACAAAGCAGATTAGTCTGCGGCAGGCACACCAACAGCCTCAGCAACTGTTGTTGGGAGCTCGGCCACCAGGTTTGTCTAAATCTCAGGTGAAGCTCATGGACCTGGAGGACTGTGCACTTTGGGAAGGAAAACCACGGACTTACATCACCGAAGAGAGAGCAGATGTGTCCTTAACGACTCTGCTTACGGCTCAAGTAAGTATCTCCTGGGTTTTTGGAAGCATATTAATACTTGACTAGAGGGTGAGGGTAGTGAGAAGAAGTTGGGACTGGGATTTTCATGGCAGGTATTTTTAAGCATTTGTTTTTTCTTGTTACAGACTAATGAGATGTCTATTTTCTTACACTTTTACCAGCTAGATGCTCAAGTATACATAGTCTAGCCTGCTAGCAGAGGGCACAGTACAATTGTGCTTTAGAAATAGCATTCATCTCCAATAACATCTAAAAGCCTTAATTTCATTCTCCAGCATATGAACTAAGTATATTTGCTGATGTCAAAACAGCTGTGAAAATGCTTCTTAAAAAATCCTGAATTGCAGAGGAAAACAAACCCAACCCCACAAACACACACATCTGTTGGCGCAGGGGCGGGGGTGGGTGGGGAATAAGAAACCTGCTGCTTGTAAAATTTAATATTAAAATAAAATTTTATATTGTTCATGCACCCATGTTAGTGCCTTCGGGTGCCTGTCAAACAATACAGCCAACAAGGTGATCATTTTTAAATCATTGAATGATTTTTTTTTTATATACCTATTTTAAAATTTTGTGACTATAGTTAAGAATTGAACATCAGAAGTTAAGACTAAATGTAAATTAATAATCATACTTAAAATTTTTTTTGCCTGTATTATCCACTCCCTTTTTAAAAATCACCTTAGATCAGAGATTGGCAAACCTCTGAAAAAGTTCGGAGAGTAAATACTTTTGGTTTTGTGGGCTGTGTAGTCTCTGTTGCAATAAGTTAGCTTTGCTGCTGTTGTGCTATGGACAATATGCAAATGATCGGGCCCAACTCCATTTCAGTGAAATTTTATTTACAAACCAGGCTTATTATGGTCTGCTGATAATAGTTTATGAACCCTGACTTAGAGCATTGTGTAAATAAATTTATTATGAGTAAATTTATCTTTGTTGACATTTTGACTAATGAATCAGTATTTCTTCTGCTTATCTGTGCCATGTATTAGAACAAGAGGTTGCTCACAGTTCTACTATACTTTCAATCTACCCTTTGAATCTGTGTTAACCATGTGTTGTTAGAAAAGAAGGCAGGCCAGTTAGAAGTCTTATATATTTGGGAAATTTAGTGGAATCATAATTCTCTACTTTAATTTTAGGCATCTCTCAAAACTAAACCTATCCACACAATTATACGGAAAAGAGCACCTCCATGCAACAATGACTTTTGCCGACTGGGTTGTGTATGTTCCAGTCTAGCTTTGGAGAAGCGCCAGCCTGCTCACTGCCGCCGACCAGACTGCATGTTTGGCTGCACTTGTTTGAAAAGAAAAGTTGTACTTGTTAAAGGAGGATCTAAAACAAAGCATTTGCAGAGGAAAGCTGCTCATCGAGATCCAATATTTTATGATACTTTGGGAGAAGAGGCAAGGGAAGGAGGAGAGGAGGATGACAGGGAGGAAGAGGAGCTATTAAAAGAGAAGAAGAAAAGAAAGAAGCTGGAATACAGTGAGTATTAGTTGGAGGTACAACAAATGTGCTGATAATTTTGGGGAAAACTGATCTTTTTAAAGTTTATATACTTTAAACACCAGAGACATTTACTTTTAATCCTGATACATGCTTATCTGGTATGTGAGGAAATTCTTGGCATCTGAATGCGTTTTCTATGTGGTATGCCCACACACATGTGCCTTTTTAAAATGGGACTTTTCTCTGAGAATGACTGCTAAATTTGAATTATTCTGTTAATTGGACTTCCAGAGGGGCTTTGAGATTTCATCCATTTTCCCTTTTGGTTTATTTACCTTTTCCTTAGATATTCCTTGGAAAGTGAATGGATGACCAATATAATCCATTGCATTTTATTAAAGGGTGTATTGGCAACAAGACCTTCAGGTCTTGGTTTGAGCCAGGTACTCAGTGGTTGTGGGCAATTGGTGGTAGAATTGGGTAGGGCAGAGCCAATCATTGTGTGCTCTTTTAGGAAGCTTGTTTTTCTTTTTGATAAAATGAGATGTAGGCCCACACAACATTTTTACCTTCTTTCTGGTAGACTTTTATAATCTCTTCAAATGTATTGAATATGACTTTACCATATAATTGAGACTATATCTTGTCACTTATTTATCAGATTATGAGTAATAATACTAAGATAAATGTTATTCAAATTAATCCTTTTTTAGCCATTTATATTTTAACATTACGTTATACTCGCGTATAAGACCGAGTTTTTCAGCACATTTTAAATGCCGTTTTTGTGGTAAAATTAGGTGTCTCGGCTGATACTCAGGTCAGCATATGCTCAAGTATATATGGTACTTGTTATGTACTCTACAGTCTGAGATTATGACCAGTGACCTTCTAGAATTTTGTTGTGAATCTACACGTTTGTGCATGCATTCATATACCCATCAAAGGAACTGCTCTCTATATGTGGCAGTGTACTATTATAATGCATATTTTACTTTCAAAGTTGAGAATCATAAGACGTGCTTTCCTAAGTATGAATTTACATTGTAATTTTAATTTTAATGGCTTTATAGTATTCTAGTTCTTTTGGTTGGACATTGCGTATTTTTGGATTGTTTTTATTTTAAATGATGTAGTAAAGAACATTCCATTTTAGGTTAGGCTATTTAAAGTGAAATTGTGGAGTCAAAGTGTTCTATGTGAAAGATACTTCTAGGTGTTGCTAGGGTTGTACCAACTTACACATCTGCTGGAGGGAGGGGAAAAATGAGGACCTAATGTCGGGGGTTTAAATGGAGAGAAAATGTTTTGAGAAACGATGTACAAATGCGCTTTACACAATTGATGTGTGTATGGATTGGGATAACAGTTGTATGAGCCCCTAATAAAATGTTTAAAAAAAAAACAAAAAAAACCGTACACATCTGCTAATAGTTGGACAGTGTTACAGTGCCACTTTTTCTACAAAACACTGGGTATCTACATCATGCTGATATGCAGGTTGCAATTGAGATGGTTTCTGGTCTCTCTTGCCTGTTTTGGGACCAGTGCCTGGCTATTTGGATGATTATTTTAGTATTTAAGTGAGTTAGATTTTTATATACATAAGAATTTAAAGGTGTTTTTTAAAATCATTTTATTGGGGGCTCGTACAGCTCTTATCACAATCTATACATACATCCATTTTGACAAGCACGCTTGTATATATGTTGTCTTCATTTTCTTTTGTTTCTCATCATTTTCAAAACATTTCTTTCTACTTGAGCCCTTGGTGTCAGCTCCTCATTTTACCATCTTCCACCCCCAGATTTTAAAGGTTTAAAATTAATTATGAGGGAGTTTCAAAACGTTTGTGGGAAAGGTTAATTATATTTTAATTCTATATTTTTTTAAAAAGAATTGTTTGAAGTTCCTTCATATAATACAGAATTGTTAAATTCAGTCCATATCCGTCTGCAGAGTTTACCTCTTCACTAGCACTTAAAGCAACACATGATTACATTTCAGAGCAACGAGAGTTAGACACAACTTACGTAAGGGGTATACTGTACCTATTATGTTTCATTACTTGGTTCACCCTGTTTTTCTGTTCCTTGACCAAAGTTACACTCCAAACGCCAGCCATTTACAAAAGTATTCTTTATTTTTTGCCAGTGTAAAGCAAAATGGCCTGCTCTTTTCCTTCCTAGAAGCCATCACTTTTCTTGTAGTTGATATAGTTGGTGGCGCTGCTAACGACAAGGTCAACTGTTTGAAACCACCAGCCACTCCTTGGGAGGAAGATGAGACGTTCCACTACCTTAAAGAGTTACTTTCTCAGAAACCCACAATTACAGTTCTGCCCTATCTATATGGGATTGCTCTTAGTTGAAACGTTCTCTATGGCAGTGAGTTTGGTTTTGGAATTTTCTTGCACTGCCAAGGAAAGGATGAGGAAGAGAAAGCTTTTACTGTTTTCCATAGCCTTCTGCAAACTGGGGCTTGGTATTTAAGCTCTAATAGTATTCTTCCCTATGGTCTTGGATTTTAGTATTTCCAGTCCGTGGAGCACATGGGTTGGTGTACTTCTGGCTGGGTGGACTTATCTAACACCTCCTTTAGTTGGCAGCTTGTTTTAAGACAAGCTTATCAGACCCCAAGGTGCTGCTATTCTTTCTGAAAGTTGGATACTATCTGCTTTCTTTACCACATTTAGGAACCATATTCTCAGTGATCCCTATGTGGGCAAGTATGGAGCCTGGGCCAAATCATAAGAACCAATTGTTCTTAAAATAACTGTTACTAAATAACTAATTCTTAATAACTCGTTGCTATTAACATTATAGCTTATGAATTAGGGTGAGCACAAAATCTATTATATCTAAGGTTTATATTTCCCTTTTTCCTTTAAAAAAAAATCATTTTATTAGGGGCACATAAAACTCATCACAATTCATACGTACTTCAATTGTGTGAAACACATTGTACATTCATTACCCTCATCATTCTCAAAACATTTGCTCTCTACTTGACCCCCTGGCATCAGCTCCTCATCCCCCCTCTCCCTGCTCCCGCCTCCCTCATGAACCCTTGATAATTTATAAACTATTATTGTGTCATACCTTGCCCTGTCCGACGTCTCCCTTCACCCACTTTTCTGTTGTTTGTCCCCCAAGGAGGAGGTTATATGTAGATCCTTGTAATCAGTTCCCCCTTTCCAACCCACCCTCCCTTCCACCCTCTTGGTATCGCCTCTCTCACCACTGGTCCTGAAGGAACCATCTGTCCTGGATTCCCTGTGTTTCCAGTTCCTATCTGTACTAGTGTATATCCTCTGATCTAGGCAGATCTGTAAGGTAGGATTGGGATCATGATAATGGGTGGGGAAGAAGCATTTAGGAACTAGAAGAAAGTTGTATGTTTCATTGTTGCTACACTGCACCCTGACTGGCTTGTCTGTTCCCCGGGACCATTCCGTAAGGGGATGTCCAATTGCCTACAGATGGGCTTTGGGTCTCCACTCCGCACTCTCCCTCATTCACAATGATTTGATTTTTTATTCTTTGATGCCTGATACCTGATCCCTTCGACACCTCATGATCACATAGGCTGGTGCACTTCGTCCATTTGGGCTCTGTTGCTTCTGAGCTAGATGGCCGCTTGTTTACTTTCCCTTTTGTTTTCTTAAACACTTAATCCTTCACAGCCACAGATATTAGATAAAAAATTATCTTGAAAGAAAAAAATTTTCATTGTTAAAATGATAACTAAAAATAGACTATCAAGGAAGCTGTAATGAAGTGCAGCAAAATGCAAATTTACTGAAGTTTGAAGGAAACTATCAAATTGTTGAAAAATACGTGAGTAATACCAATGTACACTTCACAAAGAAAGGAAATGGTAAAATCTTTCCTTGTGATTTCTTCAAGCTTCTGCCCCCATATGTTTACATTTAAGGATCCATCCTGCAGGCAAAGGCATAAGAAATGGCAAAACTCAAAAAGGTGATGGATTCTCTATGTCTAATGGGTGTATTCAGAGCTTCAAAAAACAAACCATGCAATATCACCTGCAACATAAGACCATGCTTCAAGAATTGCAGTTTCTTATGTGGCAATGACGATAGTAAGCAGAATAGAAGTTACTGAGATTGATAACTTTATGCAAATTCAGGACACAACAGTTAACATTTATAGTGGTATTTCAGAAAATAGTGTCACATCTTACATTAATATCAACAAAGAATTTACCACAGAAATGAGTAATATACACCTACAAGAAATTTTGTATTCAAAAGCCAAAGATGACGATGAAGATTATAAACACCTATCATTGGAAGACCCTGAGCTTGTAAGTCAAATACAAGTTTTTTCAAACTATACAAAGGGAAGAACTCGTGAGGGCAAGAACTTTGTTTTTCTCGTAGCTGTATTTATTCTATTGCCTAAAACCCTATCTGGTTCACAGTAAACGGCTCAATAAATACTTGGTAAAATAAGACAAATGAGGGCAACTAAAGGTTTTTATTATTGTTTGTTCTTAGCAGGGATCAAGTTGATGGATCACTTTATTGGGAGCTTTTACAAATATAACAATCCATAATTCAATCAGATCAAGCATATTTGTACAAGTGCTACCACCATCAGCTTCAAAATATTTTCTTCTTGAACTCTTTGATGTCAGCTCTACACACACACACACACACACACACACACACACCCTCGCGTCCCGTCCCCTCCATACCCCCACTGCCCCCTTCCAATACCCTCAGGGAATCATTACTCCTTTTACTGTTTCTGAAGGGTTATCTATTAGGACTTTCATGCATCAGATGATCTTAATTATACAAATGAACATAGAAAGTTCTAACAAGATTAATGAGGTAAAACAAAAACTATAACAGTAAGGAGAGGGAGTCTTAAAGAATTAGATGATAGTTGTGTGTTTCATCAATGCTATACTACACGGTGGGTTTATCCCGTCTGTGTGACCCTTCTCTGAGGGACTGTCCAATAATCTTACAGGTGGGTTTTGAGTCTCCACTTTGTATATGCTCCTTCCCATCAATTTGATTGCTTGCTTTTGAACTGTGAGGAAGTGTAATTTGTTTTGGCAATGTCTCAGGCTTGACCTTTTTATGACTAAGTTGCCTAATATGTGATATCCTTTATTTTGTTAAGCCATATGTGAAACAGAGCCTGAACAGCCCATTCGCCATTACCCATTATGGGTGAAAGTAGAAGGTGAAGTAGATCCAGAGCCTGTTTATATTCCAACTCCCTCTGTCATTGAGCCTATGAAACCATTGTTGTTGCCTCAACCGGAAGTTCTATCTACTACTGCGAAGGGCAAAGTGCTCACTGGAATTAAACCTGCAAAACCATATACTCCCAAACCCAATCCTGTGGTAAGCTTTGAGTTTTATTTTTTATGGCAAGTTATAACTATTATAAAGGTATGATGGGTTCCAACCAGAATTTTTCATTGTTCTTTACAGATCCTTAAGTGAATATGTGTACCTTATATAAACCTAAGAATCACTTTGGGATCTTGTTAAATCATAGGTTTTGATGTAGATATTTGGAAAGGCAAAATCTTATTAGAAGTTTGAACTGGAATGAACTGATTTGATGCCCTGGAAATAATGCAGCCATATTTTTCCCCAGCAAATTTTTTATATGCTGTAAATACAAAACTCAACATTTAAAATAACATGTAATATTTACAATTGTGTGAAGACTAATAGTAGGCATAAATGAGAGCTGGTACTTGCTTTGTATTATAATAACTGAAGCAAATCTGATGATAGAATCGGCTTCTGTTTTCCCACTCCATTTATGTAAAGAAAGATCTTTTTGTGTAATGCTACTGTATGGTCTATGTACCAGTTCTGTTCTGCAAATTATTTGTTGCGCATATGAGTAATGTTGGTGTTCACATTATGATGAACAAGTTTTAGTCCTAAGTCATTTAAGTCAGATTTGTACATCAGAATAGTGAGATACTTTCTTATCTAATATCAGTCAAATATATCTCAATATACAATGTACCTTTCTATGAAAAACTTCTAGGTATTCTAAAACATCTTTAACATAATAATAATAAAATAATAATAATAATAATGTTTTGAGGTACATCACAAAGTAGTGCCTGTTTGTTATTTATGAACCATTGTATATGTACCTGAAATTGCAATAGGTTTTATGGAGACTGGTTGGTAAACTAGGGGTTGTACATTTATTTGTATACCTAGTTGTACTCCAGTTGCTTGTTCATAACTCCGGTACTGTCTATGTAGAAAATTTGATAGCAAGCTGACAAAGTGATTTTAAAAATCTGTTTAGTCTAATATAAAATTTTGGACTTGTATTTCATGTATTTGTGTTTTCTTATGTTTCTCCAGTAGTTTATTTTTATAAAAATATGATAGACTGTAGTTAACAAATAATATCCTTCATTGTAGATAGTTTGTGAAGCACTTGTGGTATGATCTGAAATTTCTTTTTTTTTTTTTTAATTTAAAAATTTTATTAGGGGCTCATACAACTGTTATCGCAATCCATATACACATCAATTGTGTAAAGCGCATTTGTACATCATTCTCAAAACATTTTATCTCCACTTAAACCCCCAACATTAGGTCCTCATTTATCCCCTCCCTCCCCGCTCCCCACTCCCTCATGAGCCCTTGATAGTTTATAAATTGGTATTTTGTCATATCTTGCCCTGTCCGACGTCTCCCTTCACCCACTTTTCGGTTGTCTGTCCCCCAGGGAGGAGGTCACATATAGTTCTTTGTAACCGGTTCCCTCTTTCCTACTCATTCTCCTTTTACCCTTCTTGTTTCGCCACTCACACCACTGGTCCTGTAGGGCTCAGATCTGAAATTTCTTAATAGAGCACCAGAATCCTTCGTAACTGCCCCCAAATTCAGCACATATTAACTATTTTAACTTAAAGTTTGCCTTTTAAAATTTTAACTGTTGTAATAGAAACAAAGTTGAAAAATATCAAAGCGATTCTTCCCAATGTATAGAATGTTTTGTTGTATGAAACTTACAGATTCGGGAAGAGGACAAAGATCCAGTCTACTTATACTTTGAAAGTATGATGACTTGTGCCCGAGTTCGAATGTATGAACGGAAAAAACGAAAGCAGCCATCTCTCCCCACATCTCCATCATTCCCGCAGCAGAGCTCATGTCATGCCAGTCCTGGGGACTATAGTATAAAGGTGACTCGCTTGTTGCCTGTTTCTTTTGCTGCTTTTTGATTGCTTGTTGCTGGCATTTGAATTTACGTTATTATGTAATGTAATTCTTAGAGACTAGAGAAAACTACTCGAGAGGTTTATACTGTTTGAGGTTTGTCATTCTTTCTGACCTTGGAGTACAGATGAAAAATGTAAACATTTCTGATTTTCATTAAACCTGTTTTCTCAATTATTAGGATTTACATCCTCCCACATTGGTGAATTTTCTAAATAAGTGAAATTTGTCCTGTTAAAACAATTATTTTGTATTCTTTACTGGAATATGCTATAAAACCCAATGTAAATTTTTTTCTTTGTGACTTAGTACTATCAAGAACATTGGTGAACAAAGCTTCATGCTTCTCTCAGGGTTGTATACTACAGCCACACAGCCGTGTGGGCATGTGACTTCATCATTTGAATGATTTTAAGCCTCTTTGAGAAATGTAAGGCATACTGGTGTCTCAGAGGATTAATAACTGCTAATCACAAAATCAGTGGCTCAAATCCACCAGCCAGCCACACTGCAGGAGAAAGATGAGTGTGTTGATTTTGTAAATATTAATTGCTTTGGAAGCCTTTAGGAGCATTTCTCTCTTGTTGTATAGAGTTGTTTTGAGTTGTAATCAACTAGGTCATGGGTTTTGAGAAATAAGTGTATGGACATGAGTGTATGTTGAACAGAAATGTTTCTGTCATTGTCTTTAGGAACCTGATTCTGAGCAGCAGCCCTTGAAACAAGCCACCTCTGATCTAGAGAATGAGTCTCATAAATCACAAGGTCAGATGATTGATTTTATAATTTGATAATATTCACATAGGTCCAGATTATAATCCTTAAGGAACATCCAAACCACCAAATCAGAATATGGTTATGCACCCTGTTTCTGACTTCTTCTAAAAACAGATACAGTAGGTGATGATTTTATAACTGAGGTAAGTGAAGGAGAGTGCTAAGGTGAAGGACCCTTGTCAGTGTGATCATCCTGAAAGGCTGATACCCCCTATCTTCCCTCAAAGGTTAATGGGATCTCTATCTTGGCGTTTCTGTAATTGTAATTATAATCCACTGGTTAGAAGCTCTCCTGTAGAAATCTGGGTGTTTAGTGAAATACAGATCTAGTTAACGTGTTACTATGAATATAAAGACATTGTAGAAATTGATCAGTCATATCTAGGGGCACATAAATATAAGAAGGCCTCAAAAAGTTCATGAGAAAATTCTATTTTAATTCCATTTTTCCAGAATATTTAAAAAACTGCCTTACAGTTCAAAAGTATTTGTGGTAGAAACTAGAGGTATCATGCACCTTTTTAAAAACCAGAACACTTGCTGTTCTTTAGAATTGACTCTCCCCTTCATATATTACAAAGTATCTCATAGTATCTTTGCTTTGCTTATGTGGAGAGCAGAATACTTCTATACCAAACAAGCTTAACCTTATTTATGGCTATGCTTTCATTTTGGGTAACACTTTATTTTAGAGCAGTTTTGAGAGGGTCCTTTTTTAGTATGAGTACAGTCATCAGGGTTGTGAACGTTAGTGTAATTTGATTTTCTGGAGTCTATATTTCTTCCTAGAAAACACTCATTATGAGTGTTAAGCTGTATATTGGACTATCACTGAAAGTACATAGGTATGGAACACTGAATAATCATTGCCTTTTTTTTTTGCCCTTGGCAGTTTTCTGAAGATTTAGGGAAAATAAATTTTTTTCAGATTTTAGTGCAATGATGTAATGCAGAAATATCTTTCAATTCTTCATCAGAAAATAGTTGGAAATCTTCCTGCAATGAAGGGGAATCCTCTTCTACCTCCTATGTGCATCAGCGGTCACCTGGTGGTCCCACCAAACTGATAGAGATCATCTCAGACTGCAACTGGGAGGAGGATCGGAACAAGATTTTGAGCATCTTATCCCAGCACATCAATAGCAACATGCCACAATCACTTAAGGTGGGCAGCTTCATCATTGAGTTGGCTTCTCAGCGAAAGAGCCGGGGTGAGAAGAACCCTCCTGTTTATTCTTCTCGTGTGAAAATCTCTATGCCATCATGTCAAGATCAAGATGATATGGCTGAGAAATCTGAATCAGAGACTCCTGATGGTCCATTATCCCCTGGGAAAATGGATGATCTCACTTCTGTGCAGACAGATGCCTTGGATTCAGTGAGGGAAAGATTGCATGGAGGCAAAGGTCTGCCTTTTTATGCAGGGCTTTCTCCTGCAGGGAAGCTTGTGGCCTATAAACGTAAACCCAGTTCAAGCACATCTGGGCTTATCCAGGTGAGAATTATCTTTAATCTGGGTATAGCACCTTTTTAGGAAACATTTTTAGTGTTCAGAATCCCTGATGGAGCCTCATATCAGCCTATAATTTTCTTTCTAGTCTTCCCAGAAAGCTGCTCTTAAACTTTATATCTGGCTCTGGTGATACTTTGACAACTGTGAGGAGAGTTAAGGATTTATTCTAATTCATGAAATTTATCATTGATAGCCAATTTGAAAACAAACAAACTACATGGTATTAGGGCTAGTAGTTAAGGGGACAGTGAAGTTGACTTTAGGATAGGCAGTACATTTGGAATTCGGGAACTTTTAAAATTTAATAAGGCTTGTTATTAAAACATGAGATTTTAAATTATCTTATTATTTATGATTTCCTTAATTATTTTTTCTTATTAAAAACTTTTCCAGTAGATTCATTGGTTTAGGACAAATATTTCTATCACTGCTGCTTAGTAATTCAAGCAGATTATATTAATGAAATTACAGTGACATAGAAAATCATTTGGGAAAAAAATAAATAAAAAAAGAAAATTATTTGGAAGGAGAAGTTTCTGAATGGAATTATAAATCACAAGACAAAAGGTTTTCTCCCAGTAATGTTAAATGTACTTTTATATCAAGGTAGCAAATATGTTGAAGAATTTGGCATGATTGTCAAGGATGGTTGACATTATTAGCCTGACAACTTTCTCCAAATTAAGAACTTTTCCATTATAAATATAACCTGATTATTTAACATAGCTGGTTCTATGCAATGACTTTAATGGTATTTCTTGAAACTCTTAATGGTGAGGTGAGCTGTGTTTTCTATCTTCCTCATTTATTGATTGGTTCTTTGAAAACTGAGACTTTATTGAGATATCATGTGTTGTATGTAGTGAGACAACCTGAAATATAAACATAGAAATTTTGTGTTGTTTACTCTTAACCAAGAATTCATAAAGCCCCCATAGAATGTGAATTTATCCAAGTAGTCAGGTCCCTGTAGTATAGATTGTATAGGAAGCTACTGGGAAATACTTAGAGCAAGTCCTAAAGTAGCAAGTAGGAACATCTTACCTAGATACCCTATAACTTGAAAAAGCAAACTATAAAAAGTAGATGGAAAGACCAATTTTCTTTGTATTATACTCAAAGATATTCCTGATCTTTCTTGGAGTAGTCATAATTTTATATCAAAAAGTAAATTCTGCGTAATGACTTGGAAGATGAAACAGTGGCTTGCTATAACTATTTTTCTCACCAATTTTTTTATTAATAGAATAGGTTCCCCTCACCTTTTTCCATGATGAAGCAGAAACTTGTCTTTATAAGCTAGAGTCACTCAGCATTATAACCTAGAGAACATGAATAGAAACTTAAGTAGATTTAAAAAAAAAAAATTCTGCTATCCAAAATGGTCAGTCTGATCAACTCAGACATTACAAAGAGTATTTACCTCACCTTCTTCTGACAGTTTAGTAACTACTAGAATTAAAATACATTTCTTCTGGCATGTATTGCCTGCCATGCTTTTTCCAGGAGATAAAGACATTGTCTTCAAAGTTGCACCTTTTGAAAATTGTTTGTTGCTTAGGTTATTTTAACGGTATTTGTTTTATAACAAACTGGGTTCATCATATTTTTTTAAAATATGAAGAGTGCTTGAAAATAACACTTTGGGGCTTTATTAAGAGATCTGTGGAACACAGTTAATCCCAGAGAGGTTTTGTGGAGCAGTTAGTCATGTTTACAAGTGATTGTTAATAGTGTAACTAGCATTGTTCATTGACAGTTGGATGGTTCTTAGGTTTGATGCCATTTTTCATGTATTTGTGATGCAGACATGATAATTTCTGAGATCCTCTGTGTCAACACGTTCTAAATGAAAATGAGTTTAGTTCAGAATATTAGCTGACAGCATTTTAAAAAATCTCCTAATTAGATTAATCTGAATGGGAAAAGTTCATTTCTTTTTCCCTTTTAAAGCTGAAAAGTAGACTTTTAAAACCTTGTAAAAAGGGAGGAGAATTAGCAAGAGAATTTTATCTTTACAGAATTTCTCTTTGCCACTTGTTTCAGGTTAATGGTAAGAGTTACCCGCAGGCTAAGTTGCTATTGGGACAGATGGGGGCATTGCATCCAGCCAATAGGCTAGCTGCTTATATCACAGGCAGGTTGCGACCCTCAGTCCTGGACCTCTCAACCCTCAGTACTGTCATCTCCAAGGTAGCATCCAATGCCAAGGTGGCTGCATCCAGGAAACCACGTACCCTGTTGCCTTCAACATCCAATTCCAAAACGACATCTTCCTCCAGCACTACATCAAACCGTCCTGGGAAGAATTTGAAGGCATTTGTCTCAGCAAAAAGGCCAATTGGTAAGTTGAAGCGCACAAACTTTGGGGAAAGGTCTGTAACTTGGTAGTGAGTCAGTGAGTTAGAGGTATAAAGAGAAATACAGAACATGGTGGTGTTTATATGCTGTCTTAAGCCTTTTATTTTTATAATACATACAGCCTACCGTACTAGATAAATTGAACTCTGTGTAGTTTTATGGTTATTTCCTAGACTTTTAGACTGATGATATTAATGTGAAAAAGACTTAAGATTTTTTTGTTTCTTAAAAGGCAGAAATATTCTGTCTCCTTAGCTTAGCGTTTTCCCACATGGACTGGTGGTGTTTGGCACTAGTCATATATATGTTCTTTGAACGTATGAAACCCAGCAGTTAGCAAAACCAAAGCAGACTGAATTATATATATGCTTAAATTAAAAGGCCCTTGTAAAACATAATTTTGGTAGCAGCGCCTTACTTTGTTCATCCCTGCTCTGTGAATGAAAACTTCTTTCTTTCCCTTAACGTTTTTTAAGTGTAAAACGTTAATAGAGTGTGTAATAAATTGCCTCCTTGAAGTATTTGTGTTTTAGCACTGAGAATATCTTTACAGTTGATTTATTGAACTCTTTGTTGTTGCAAATCTCAATAGGAATGTTCAGTAAAGGTACTGAACATTCTTATTCTTCTAATAGACAGTTGAAATCTCTGGTTGAGAACTGGAGAGTTATTTGAAGTCAGGGGTAGACACTCTATGCCTGAAAAGGCACCTTTTTTGTTTGTTTTTCAGCATCTTAAACTGATGATCCCCCCCTTCCCTCCCAAAGTAATCCTATCCTCCTTTTTAAAAAAATGTATACATTTTAGGAATATGCAAAACTCCCCTGTCTCCTAAGAGGACAGTTACAAAGAGGTGGAGGTGCTGGGGCAGAAGGAAGTGATGGAAACAAATTTTAAAATTAGCATTAGGAAAAAAGTTCTCTGCTTTTTACCTTCTTTCATCTGTTTTACATAATGAAGTTGATTGATGCTATATGGCCTTTTAGTGTCCTAGCAATTTGAATAGTTAAACAAAATTTTGGTAGGAGCACCCATTTTAACCCCTTTCTTGTTCTAATTATGAGGCTTTGGGTTGGGTTGAGGGACGTGTTTCATTTCTGGGGGTGGAAATTGGCACATACAATGCAGGTAGCTAGTCCCTTTAAGAAATTGACCCAGTGGTACACAACAAATGTTGATTAAACACATTCACTAAGAGAATAAACTGAGAACTGAAGATTTTTGACCTGCAAATTTTTATTTGCAGCGGCTCGACCCTCTCCTGGTGGTGTGTTCACACAGTTTGTGATGAGCAAAGTTGGAGCCCTGCAGCAGAAGATACCTGGAGTTAGCACACCCCAACCCCTGACAGGGTCACAGAAGTTCAGTATCAGACCTTCTCCAGTAATGGTCGTCACACCTGTGGTTTCTTCTGAGCCAGTTCAGGTGTGCAGCCCTATGACTGCTGCTGTCACCACTACCACCCCTCAAGTGATTTTAGAAAATGTTACTTCTGTGGCATCTGTGACTGCTATTTCTGACATGGGAACTAAAGAGACTACTAATTCTTCTGATGCCACCCATGCAGGGGCTGTTGAGGTCTCTGAAACTAATGTCCGCACTCCTATAACACCTACTCAGTCTACAGCCACTGTGAATCTTTCCAAAACTACTGGGATAACTACCCCTGTTGCTTCCATTGCTTTTCCTAAGTCTTTGGTAGCATCTTCTCCAACCATAACTCTTCCCGTTGCTTCCACTGCCTCCACCTCCATAGTCGTGGTGACCACAGCTGCATCTTCCTCCATGGTGACCACACCAACTTCATCTCTGGGCTCTGTACCTATTATACTTTCAGGAATTAATGGGAGTCCACCAGTGAGCCAGAGACCAGGTAAGGCCTAGCTATTATTATAACACGATATAACATGTTACATGCTATAACATGATACCTGTATTCCTGAAAACCTTTGCATTTTGCAACAAGCACTGAAGATAGAACTCATCATGAATATATAGTTAGGGTACACAGCTGAAAATCTATGCAACTTGATAAACATAGAACTAATAAAAACAACTATTACTTGGGAGATAACATGAGAAACCTCGATAGTTTTAACAGGACTTGTGGCGGGCCTAGACTTTGTCTCAGGACCAATTCAAAACAGAATGGATGGAAATACTGGTTGAGGAAACTGAAATAGTGCCGGTAGCAGAGCTCTGAGCTGCAGAGTAGTTGCTACAGTGGACCCAGAAGGAATCTGCCATGTCCTGAGAGCTGCATGGAGCTATGGGCATGCATTTTTCAGGATGGAACTCCAAATGCAAGTGTTCCTTTTTTTTTTTTCCTTTTTAATGAAGAAAGATGAGAAGGTTTTTGCCTGTGCTGTAGCCAAGCAAGCTGAAGGCTTTTGTCTTTTTTTTGCTTAAAATTAAAATTTTCCCTTTGTTAGTCTAGCTCCTCTTGCCTCCTAAAATTCATGAGTGAATCAGCACAATGCCCATCTAATACATAATTCCCCTGTTATTACACAAGTAGATTGAAATAAAAATAAGGAAACATTTCATTGTTTAGGATCATAATATTTTATATATGTTTATGTGCTTTTAAGCTAAAATTAGTTTTCACTTGTTGGGTTAGGTTAAATTAATTGTTTATTAAGAATATTGTACACTTGCTAATATTGTATTCCAGTGCAACTAAGTAAAGTATGTGGTCCACTCAGTGGAATTAATGTGGAAAAGAGTGTAAGGCTTTTGAGGATTGGAGGAGAAATAAATATCCTATAGCAACTCTTTTGGTTAATGATACTTTTCTTATTTTTAGCTTTAGTGACATGGTTCAGATCTCTGTAGGTCTATTAATGTAATGGTTTGGGAAATTGATTTACAAGTTGAAGTTCTGTTGAAAGGAAAATATACTTGCAATGTTAAAATTGTTTATCCTTTGCTTCTCCCCATAAGTAAATATGTAACTAAGAAATGGTTAGTATATTTTAGAGTTTGGGTAGTAAGGTCATTATTAGTGAAACTATCTTGATTTTTCTATTGAATCTCAGAGTTCTTATCTGTCATATTATAACTGTTTAAAACTACATTTCAAAGCAATCCAGCCTTTTTTCTTAAAAAGTTGTAATGGTAGCTCTTCCACATACCATGTGATTCAATAGTTCAGTCATATCAAGAAGAATTGTACAATTATTACCACAATCAACTTTAGAACATTTTCTTCCTTAGACTCATTGTTATTCATGTAATGACCTTTTTTTTCTTAATTTGGCGAAAATATCCACAGCCAAACATTCTCCAATTCAACAGCTTTTACGTGTGTAATTCAGTTGATGAAGAGACAAAAACTTCCGGAAATTTAATGACAATATAGACTGATACGTTAGTGTATAATAATAGGGTTAGAATCAAAAGGGAAATTACTCAAAATGCAGATGTGTTGTTCTATATCCATGTCCTGCTTATCTCTCGCAGGACCATTTTAGGGAATAATAGTGTTCTTAATAGATTTTCATAGCTGCTTTGATTGTGGAACTGAGTGGGTCCTCCTGAGGGAGTGTGTGTAATTTTGTTACCACTTCACAGAGAGGGTCCCAACTCAAGCATGTTAACAGCTGTGACTTTTTCATTCAATTTCCCTTTTTCTGTTTCTTCGACTTTCCTCTCACATGTAAATAAACAATCACATGTACATTTATTGTGTATTAGAATCGGCTTTTATTCTTCAAATTGGAATAATCCAGTTTTGAAACACTCACTAAAATTTAATTTGAAAAGTGTAGGAAATTGGGAGTACTTTAACAAAAAGATGTCATTCACATAAGACACATTTTTGTTAATTTTTGCACTTTTCCCCTCCCTCCCACAAACAGTTTGGTCTATATTTTATTTCATTATCAAAAGTAGCCCTGGGTCTTCTATATACATCTAAATTCTTGACTGTCTAAATGTTATGGGCATGACTTTCTTTTAGAAATTGGATATGTTTTGTGGGCACAGTCCCTACTTCATAGATAATCGTGTGCTAAGTAGAATTTTTTGTTTTGTTTGTTTGGTTTGTTGATTTTTCTATGATGGACAGACTGAGAATTTTTATTGTTGTTTTATTTTTTCCCAGTCTTTAGTATTTATTAATACCTCTTCCAAATAACAAAGTGCATATTTAGGTGCTGCTAATGATTTGAAATTTCTTTTAATTCACATCTTCTGAAATAAATTGCTGCTTTTTCTGTTTGTTTTAAAACTATCTTTTGCCTTTTCCTAACCAGGCTTTATATCCCTGCTTCTTTGATGTCTCTTAATTTCATTCCATTTTTAGGGGGTATGTATTTTTTTCCTTCTGAAAAATAATTTTGACAAATCTTTAAACTCTTATTCTTCAGTGAATTTTTAAAGCCAAGAAACTTTTTGTGTCTTATAATGTTTAGTCTTTGACCTTTTATTTTACTTAAAGTGAAAATCTAATATGTACTACTAGCCATTCAATTTTAAAACTGCAAAAAGATAATTTTTATCATAAAAATGATCTTTCTAACTGTAATAATTCACATTTAGAGGCCTGGTCCATGTTTTTTGTTAGGCAGAACCATCCCATTAAATAGCTCACTTGGCAAATGACGCTTTAAGATTTTTTTTTTTTTAATCACTCTCAGTGTAAAACTCTGTGAAGTTAGGTTTAAAATAAATTATTCTTAGCCATGATTATTAAATAGAATTATCCACTGCATGGTCACATCCTATGCCTTAATAGTTTTTCCTTAATGTGTTAAAAGAGAATTCTGATGCCATGTTTCTATTTTTTATTTTTCAGATAATACCCCTCAAATTCCAGTGGCTACTTCTCAGGTCTCTCCTAACCCAGTGAAACGTGCTGGACCTCGATTGTTGTTGATTCCAGTACAGCAGGGCTCTCCTACTGTAAGACCTGCCCCAAACACACAACTTACGGGGCAGCGGATGGTCTTGCAGCCTGTTAGGAGCCCCAGTGGAATGAACCTATTCAGGCATCCTAATGGGCAGATTGTCCAGCTCCTCCCTTTGCATCAGCTTCGAGGCTCTAATTCCCAGCCCAACTTACAACCTGTCATGTTTCGGAACCCAGGTATAGAGATTTTTCTTAGAGTTAACTATCTAAAAAGAAATGCATACTTTGGAAGTTTTGGTGAATGCAATGGTGATTTCAAATTTTCTTCTTACTAGGATCTGTGGTGGGAATCCGGTTACCTGCACCTTCTAAACCTTCAGAGACGCCACCATCTTCTACTTCTTCGTCTGCTTTTTCTGTTGTGAACCCAGTGATTCAGACTGTTGGGTCTTCACCAGCTGTGAATGTCATCACTCAGGCGCCATCATTGCTCTCCTCTGGATCTCCTTTCGTGTCTCAGGCTGGTACTTTAACCCTGAGGATTTCTGCTCCGGAACCACAAAGTTGTGCAAGTAAAACAGGCTCTGAAACAAAAATCACCTATAGCTCAGGAGGGCAGCCGGTTGGTACAGCCAGTCTCATTCCTCTCCAGTCTGGCAGTTTTGCCTTGTTGCAGCTCCCAGGACAAAAACCTATTCCTAGCTCCATTCTTCAGCATGTTGCTTCCCTGCAGATGAAAAGAGAATCTCAGAATGCAGATCAGAAAAATGAAACAAGCTCTTTAAAACAGCAGGAAACCAAGAAAGTTGTAGAGTCAGATGGAGCTGCTATAGACCCTGAGGCTAGTACAATAATAAACCAAAATCCAGGAGCTGCTGCCTCAGAAGAAACCCCGAATGACTCTTTGGAAGATGGGGGTGATCATTTTGATGAAGAGTCCACTACAGGAGAAGATCCTATAACCGCTATGCATTCTGAGCACCCCTTTATCACTGGGTCACGCTCAAATGGAGACTATAAAGGTGTCAGTGATGAGCTTGTGCCTGTGAATCAGAGTCGCTCCAAGGGAAAACAGACTATTGTCGAAGTTAAGACCATTTCTGGAAAAACTAGTAATGTGACAGCCCAAAGTGTAAGTAAGGCACAGCTTAAAAAAGTTGTCACTGTGAAAGTGGAACAGGGGCATGTACTAGACAATCCCGAAGACGAACAAAGTGAATTCCCAATCATCTCTAAGGAAGAAAGTAAACTTGAATTATCAGAGAACAAAATTGTGGAACAGCAACTTAATGCACAGCCGGAGAACAAGGAGGAGGGAGTGGGAAACTCTGTGGAGGGGGGCAGTGTTAGAGACAGAATGAGAAAGCACCCGAAGGGCCCTCTGACCCGCAAATATGTTGGAACGTCAAAAGAATGTAAGAAAGAGGTAGATGAACAATTAATTAAACAAACAAAGACCAGACAGGAAAATTCTAGTGTGTTTCAACAAGAACAAAATATCTCTGGTTTAAAAACTGAGTGCGATTCTTGGAGTAGGGTTTCTAATCCTGCAACCTTTTCCAAGAGAGCTACAAAAGGCGACAGAGGGGATGGACACTTTGAGGGTCACTTACTGCTATCAGGAGAACCTATAAAACCAAAACAAGAAAAGAAAAGTGGGAGAAGCAGTACTGACTTCACTGTTTTGGATTTGGAAGAAGAGGATGAAGAAGATGAGAATGAGAAAACGGATGACTCTGTTGATGAGATGGTGGATGTTGTTTCTGACTACCAGAGTGAGGATGTTGATGATGTAGAAAAGGTGGTGAGCTTGTTTTTGTTGTGGCTGAAACCCCAACGATTTAAGGGATTGGTTAACAGTAGCTTTTCCAGAAAATCATTGTAACTAACATATTCAATTGAAAGCCTAGGTTTAGATTATGACTAAAAATGACTTTGTACTTTTAGGCTGTCAGTCGGGCAACATTTATTGAGCTTATATATGTATTTTTTTTCTTTCAACATTTAGCTCTTGTAAACTTCTAAACATATTTTAATATTTAATAGTTCCAGCTTATAGATAAGTAACAGAAGATCAGAGATGCTGTTACTAAGTTTAAAGTGACATTGAGATTCATGTACCACCTCTGAGAATACAACAAAAGCAGCTCTTCCAATTATAAATATTGTAAAGCATATCACCATTTCAAATAGTTTAAAAATATAGCAAAGAGGAGACCTCAGAAATATAGTAACTTAACCCACCTCATACAGTATTGATGGCAAAACCAGACTTTTAATTCCAATAAAATGGACTCTAACATCTTTTTCAAGTCAGTACACATTAGCTGTTGTCAGCCCCCTTTGTAAGACCCAGGATAAGATTCTGGATTATCTTTGTACCCCTTTCTGGTATCCTACTCTGCTGCTTTGGGCAGGGCCGTATATATCCTTTCACCTTATATTACAACTCTGAGCTCTTTGACCAAGGAAGCTAGACAGATTCAAGTTGGCCTCACCGCGCGCATGCCCAGCGTGGGCCTTTGTACTCAGTGGCTGGTCAGTTTTGGAGATGGCTGAAGAACAGAGCTTAGATTATTTTTCAGGCTTGTGTGGTATTATTGGTCGACCGACTTAATAAGCCTTTGGAGGAAAATGCATAAAAACCTCTTTCAAGTTGATTATAAGCAAAGAAATCCTGAAATCACTACTCCCGTTTGATGAGTCCGTTTCACATGGAGGTTTAAGTCTACCTAGAGCCAGTAGTTCTCAACCTTCCTAATGCCATGACCCTTTAACAATCCTCATGTTGCGGTGACCCCCAACCATAAAATTATTTTTGTTGCTTCATAATTGTAATTTTGCTACTGTTATGAATCAGGCGACCTCTGTGAAAGGGTTGTTTAACCCCAAACGGGGTTGCGACCCCCAGGTTGAGAACTGCTGCTTTAGATTGTCTTCAGCATACAGTGTAGCTTTGCTTGACTCTACTAATAAAGGGAATCTGACAAGGCACACTTCAAATTTAAAAAAAATAAAGGACATGCTATTATTTCTAAAATCTAAATTTTACATTATAGTTATATTATTTGTGTCTCAGGCTTATGATAACCTTTGAGGAAGGTTAATGCTTGAGGAAGGTTTTAAGTAGCCTCTTGTTATTTAAAACTTCTGTTGTGTTGGTATTTCCAAAGCCTGAAGTTAAAATAAACAATTTGCAAACCATATTCCTCATAAATATTGCATAGCATCTACTGGCATTACTATGCAAACTTTTTTACATTCTATTGAGGCTGCTGATTTGGCTTGCTAGGTTAATCTTAATAGACATTGTTTGAATGCATCTTTTGCCATAGTTGGCTCCCTAGATTAACTTGAATCTGTGAAATATATCCAAGACTGCTATGTAAAGTTGTTATTTTATGGCTGAGGTATGAAAGGACAGTCAAAGAACGTTATGTTTACAATTTATTTGTACCGTATATATTTGAGCATAAGCCGACCTGATTATCTGCTGAGGCACCTAATTTTACCACAAAAACGGCATTAAAACTGCTGTGAAACTCCATTTATACATGAGTATATACAGTACCTTTTTGGGGTCATTGGATAAGGGTCTTAGTGATTGAATAGAAATTGAGTGCTTTAAATTGGGACAGGGAACAAAGGTTTAATCAAGGAAACTGAGGGCAGAGTAGCTTCATGGCTTACATTTTAGTGTTTTGTCAGCCTTGTGGAACCTTTAATTCAGATTAAGTAACTTTTCCAACAAATTTGAACATAAGATTAGTAAGACTATTGGGATGCGTCATTTTCGGTTATGCTTTCTCATAAGATAATGTATTCCCCATTTAGTTTCTGGTATAATAAACAGTACTTTTAAAGGCGGACCTAAAAACATCAACACGTCCCATACATCATAATTCTGTCTAAAAATATAGAGTAATTTTTCTGTGACAGGTGCTCAATAAATGCTTACTGATTGATACATTTGTGGTATAACAAGCAAGTACAGCAAGCCTGGGCTGCTTTTGAAATTTGAAATTCTTCAAAAGTTCTTGTTTTGTGGGGTTGGGAGACTTAAAGGAATTTCATTTCCGCATGGAGTATGTTAATGTGTGTTGATTTGTGGGTATCTTGATTTATTGTTAGCCGTGCAGGTGCACACCTTCTTGCCTTTCTATTCTCACCACATTTTATTATACTATTATTTGCTCTTAAGATTCGTGTAGCTTTAATACTTTCGTACCTGAATTATGTCTGACACTAAAGCATCAAGCCAGCCCTTGGGTGGCTGTTGATCCTAGACCATGTCTGTTTTTAATACAGCTGTAACTTACAATGTAGTTCCTAGTTTTTACTAATCCTGTGCTGTCTTTCTGCTTAATTTGTTTTTATGATGAATAAGTAGGATTACCAGTAATTTTGTGTTGTAAAAATCACTGTTTGGCACTAGTTTTGTAAGGGGGGAATTACATTGGAAATTTTCGATTTGCTTGTTTTCCAATACATGATTTATTGTTGTAATGACTTATTTCAGAATAATCAGGTAGGCTACCTAGAGGAGGAGGATGAGCAAGTGGACATTGAGACTGTAGAAGAGCTCTCAGAGGCAATTAATGCGCACTTGAAGACCGAAGCTGCCCGCATACTTTGCTCCAAACAACCGTAAGTCTTCTCTGTGCATTTTCAATCTTAAGCCAGAAACAAAACTAACTAACTGACTAGCTTTTTCTTGAGTAGTAGATGAGAAGAGGAGCTGGAATTTAACAAATAACTAGGTGGTTGTTAGGAGGCGGTGGTATGCAAACAAAAATAACATACTTTTAGAACCTGAGACACTTGAGTTAAAATGCTAGATTGGCTAGTTTGTGATTATTTAACCTTGGGTACGTTTTTAATCTTTCTGAACCTTAGATTATTTTCCTATGAAATTGAGAAAACATATACTTCCATTTGAATGTTGAATAACATAATCAACTGGCATGAACAACTGACTATTCCAAAAAAAAATTTTTCTTGTAACTCGTACAATCAGTCATTAAATGTAAACTTTATTAAGTGAGGGATAAAAATGACCTGTTTAAAAACAACAACAACAAAAATGACCTGTTTAGTCAAGGAGATGAAAATGTGGAGGGTAGAAAGATTTACTTGGCATTTTAGTCCATTTTTACATTTTTTGTATTGGTTGGGTTAGAATGTAAAAAAGACAAGTAGAGGGTGATGTCTTCTTATTTTGTGCAAGACCTTTCCTTTTCCTCTTTATTATTTGTTTGTTTTTCCCTTTTCCTCTTTAATCACCATGTGTAGTAGTATTTAGTTGAGAAGTTAATTCTCTGTCCCTAATGCTCTGAAAAAAAGTCTATGTAGAGTAGAAAATAGGACTAGCAGTTTTTTAACTCTAGAGCTATCAGCACACTGGTTATGCTTTTAAGTGCTTAAATCCCTTAAAGACTTAGACTAATAAGTTCAATAGTATTTTTGGGTATAAGTTAAATATACTAAACTGTAAAGACCCCTGGTGATGCATTGGTTAAACACTTACCTGCTAACCAAAAAGGTTGGTGGCTCCAACCTTTCAAGGGTTCTGCACGAGAAAAGACCTGACAGTCTGTCTGTTCCTATAACAATTACACGCTAGGAAAGCTTATTGGGCAGATCTTATTCTGTCCTCTGGGATTGGTTTGAGTCAGAATTGGCTCAGTGGCTCACAACAGCAGCATAATAAAATTGAGTTGCTTAACAATAGCAACATACAGAAAATGTAATCTAAAATACTTATAATTGTAACAGAAAAATACTTCCTAAGAATAACAAAAGCTGTGAAGACATACAATTTTATGGAAAAACATTGAATTCAATTGATGGAGAAATAACATATTAATAGAATATTAATAATAAAATATGGAATAATAAAAGCCCAAGGATAGCCAATACAATGCACCAACTTAATGAACAGATTAACAATTATGATACAAATTTCTGTGAGCCAGAAGATAGTGAAAAGATATTCATACTATAAGGAAAGTATTTACAATACATATAATCAATAAATGATTAGCATCACGCATATAAAAAATGTTCCAATCAGCACAAAAAACTGATCGAGTAGATTTTAAGAGGCCCCCCCCCCCCCCGAAAACCAGACTAATACATGCTTTTTTTCCAAAGCTGTGTATTATTTTTACAAAACAACCTGATCACCTTCAAAGTACTCTGCATTACACTTAATACATTTGTCAAATCTGTGATTCCATTCTTGGAAAAATTTTCAAACTCATCTGTTTGGGTGGTTGATAGAACCTCATTCGTCCCCATTCCCCATTCCTCTCCCCCTCCCCCCCATTGTCATCAAATCGCTGTTCTTTAATGTTCCTCTTTATTTGGGGAAGCAAACAGAGGTTGCATGGAGTGAGGTCAGGTGAGTAAGGTGTGGGGAGCAAGAGAGGCATGATGTGTTTTTGCCCAAAATTGGTGCACTGAGATGGCTGCATGAGCAGGTGCTTTGTTGTGGCAAAACCAGTCCCCGTCTGCCACAAATCAGGCCTTTTTTTGGGTCTCACACTGTTAAGCATTCTTTTCAGAACCTTTAAATAGAAAGTTTGATTAATAGTCTGACCTGGTGGAATAAACTCCAAATGCTCTACAGTGGACATCCAGTCCAGAATGAGGTTTATTATCAATCGACATTTCACCTTTTTTGAAACGAGAAAACACTTGTACACCTGAGTTTTTCCAATAGTGCTGTCCTTGTAAGCTGTGTACAAAATCACAACAGTTTCTCTGGCATTTTTCCTGCACAGGAAACAAAATTTCACAGCCACAGCTGTTCTATTAAATTGGCCATTACAAAAAACAAAGCTTGAATGAAACAAACGTCTTTTATGAAAAAATTCAATGTGACCAGAAAGAACCTTCCCAGGCCACGCCACTGGGAAGGGCGATTTGCTTGAAGCTCATCTAACAGGAAAAATGAGTGCTACAATAGCTCGCCCAGCGTAATTCAGTTTTGGGGGAGGAGTACGCCACATGTATAATGGTTATCACTAGACAATTCGCAGAAATGGGAACCTGAACGATCAGTAAATACATGCAACGATATTCAGTATCACAAGTAGTTTGGGAAATGCAGAGTGAAATTACAATGACTTTACCAGTTCACTTAAAGGTTGTTAAAAATTGAGAGTGGTTAATAAGTTGTATTAACTAGGTAGTAGTTCTTACCTACTGCTCACGTTATAATCACTTTGGAGCAATGTTTGATATCTATAGTTGAAGATTCAAATGTATCCCACACAGCAATTTTACTCATAGGCATAGAAGTATGACTTAGAAAAGCTCATGTTTATGTACAAGGGGTCATGGATGGGCTTATCTGTTACAGCAGTTATTTGTTAATGTGTGAACATTTGGAAACAAATTACTACTAATATTAGGAAATAATATACTGGAAAATTCATATGGTGGAATATTACATAGGAGTTATAAAAATTATTGAACTGTATATAGCAATATATGTCAGGTCGAGTGAGACAAATAATATGCAGATTTACAATATGATATTAAATGCTAGATATTTTTTGCTTAAAGGGATGGATATGCACCATACATTCATCATAAAACTGTAAATATAGGATCTACCTAGAACCCCTTCCTAGGGGGACAAATAATGGAAAAGTGGCTGAGGGGTGATGGAGGACGGTGTAAGATATGGAAAAAATAATGTATAACTTAGCAAGGGTTCCTGAGGAAGGACAGGAGGGGAGAGAGGGGGAAGAAATAGGGAGCTGATATCAGGGGCTCAGGTGGGAAGAGAATGCTTTGAAAATGATGATGGTGGCATATGTGCAAATGTGCTTGACGCATTAGAGGAATGTATTATTGTGTTAAGAGAGGTAAAAGGCCCCAGTAAAAGTATTTTAAAAAAAACAAACCAAACTGTAAATATGTTCACAGGAAACTCAATTCAGCAGTGTTGTTTGTTGAGAAGGGAAGCGGGAAATGTGATTAGACAGGCTGTATAGGGTCTGAAATGTTTTATTCTCAAGCTGGGTGTTCGATACTTGGCTGTTCAGTGATTGTTTATATAATCTTGTTCGTCTGAACTATATCACAATTGAAAAAGGTAATTTGTATTTTCAGGCATTATTTGGATAGAGAAAATAAATGATATTGTTGAATAAATATATGGCTCTGTATTAGATTTCAGGAGACCCTGGGTGATGCAAATGATTGATGCATTTGGCTGTTAACCAAAGGGGGGGGGGTTGGAGGTGTAAGTCCACTCAGAGATTGCCTCTGAATAAAGGCTTGTTAGTAGAGTTGGCATAGACTCGAGGGCAGTGAGTGTTGTTTTGTTTGTTTTTTTAGTCTACTTCTGAAAAATCTACCACTGAACACCCTGTGGAATGCACTCTGCCCCACAAGGGCTCCCCAGGTTTTGCAGTTGCTCAAAGCAACTGATATAGTAGACCCTAGGGAAAAGAAGTGGACTACATGTTAGATAGCTTGGCATCACCTGGTTTTATTATGGGCTTAGCTTTAATAATAATATGAAACAGGTCTTTCATTATTGCATTTCAGTGACATTGGACATTGTGGTCTCTCTTAGGTGCCGTACTCTTACCTCTGTAGATGAAAAAACTGTTGAAAGGAGTCGGAAGGTATAGTACATTTAATTGATAGTTATTCGTTTAATAAAGTGGAGTTTTAGGGTTTAAACAACATTGACTATGATTTTTTTCTTTTTTAATCAATAAGCTTAATATCTTTTTCCCCCTTGTTAATAAAATTGCATCATTGTTGCCATCTCTTCTTTTTTTAAAGCTCTTTAATTCTAGTATTTCCCTATAGGTGACAATTTTGAGAAATTAAAATGAATATAGATTTTACAAAAATTGCTTTGCTTATTGGAAAACTAATCTTATAACATAATCATTTGATATAAAACAAGCTGGCATTTTTCCTTGTCTAGGCTCATGATTTTCCATGACCTAAAATATTAATTATTCTCTAATGAAAGCTAGCAATTCAAGGAGCCATGAAATTACAAATCTTCCCTAATTTTCTTAATGTGTTAGTTGTATGCTATCATGGCGGCATAATTAAGGTTTTCCTTTATACCCATAATGATATGATCAAGCGTTCAGCTGTTTAAAACATTTATCACTCGTTTCTGTCTATAAGAGGGATCCGATTACAAGGAACTATATGTGACCTCCCTGGGGAACGGACAACCGAAAAGTGGGTGAAGGGAGACGTCGGACAGGGCAAGATATGACAAAATAACAATTTATAAACTATCAAGGGCTCATGAGGGAG